ATATATATATTAAATGTCAAACTCCTTTATTGAGATGTATGTTTGTATTTTACACTTTATTGTTATTGTTTCCTCCATATGTCAGTTTTGTATTTTTTTGAGTCAATTTATGAGTCAGGCATGTTTCCATAAAAGAGGGCAACAAGAGACCTATGCAACAACTTGGTGTGAATTGACTTGTATTAATTGGTGCTCACTGAGAGGATGTGTTAAGATACCTATATTTGAAAATTTTTTTGGGCCATCAAACTCTGAAACTTATGGTGAAATGAAGTGAAGCTATATGATTTATGTTGTAGCTGGAACCGCATCAAAACATTTATCATGAAATATTAACATCAATCTATTGAATCCTTTCCCTTCCTTTCCATCTGACATTTACATGTTACTGTGTTGATTATATTCTAATTTTAGTCCAGCTTTTATTTCTTATTGGAGGTAGTTCACATTATACTTATAGGACAGGAGCTTTAGGACATTTCAGAACTCAAATTTCCATAAATTGAGGCAGAGGATCTCATTATCTTCTAATGGCACTCCTTTTAACTTTCATATTTTTAAGTAAACATGGTTTACAAAATCGTACCAAATACCATATTCTGCTTAAAATGATCATGCGTCTTACTATGCATATTTACAATTCGAAGATCTTTACAAATGGGAACATAGAATCTGGAACATATCCACCAGAAACTGACGTTTATGCTAAAAACTAGAAAACATAGATTTTATCTCAATCACTACGCTTCTGGTTCAAATATGAAATTCAGCTGCCCAATAGAGGGAAAAATTGGAATAAAGAGTAAGAAGCAGGAGCAGACAAGCTGGAGGAGGTTTACGTCTCAACCACAAGGTTTCCAGTGTAAAACACCCAACAAGTTAGAAGACCGGGCAACCTTGAACATGCACTCCCTTCGCCGTAGGGCAAGTAGCCAGGGGGCACCCATGAAGCTCTGAGCCCCACCATTTGAAGCTAACATTCTCGAGCCCCAATGATAAGTATAGAAGCACTCCCATGAAGGCCAACCCCGCATCGAAAGCACCCGAAAGCACATAGTTATGCCTTGCCCACCACCCTCGGTAATACCTATATAGCACAACGCTGAAGAGGAAACCAACAAAAACATAAGTGGTATAATTAACTGCAGTGGCTGGAGGCATCATTCCTGTTGCCCCAATTAAGACTGGCATGTTGATGAGGCGAATCCAAGTCTTTGTGGGGTAGGCCTTGTGCAAGAGCCACACAAGAACAGGGGCTATGGCACCGACGAGGAAGAACCAATTCACTGAACTATAGAAGCCAAGGTTACCAAAGATTCAACGTGGGCCAATGAGGCCCCATATGACTGAGGCATCATAGAAGACTCTGTCCATTGGGCAAGTCCAAGGGCTATCATGAGGGAGGAGCTTTCTGTCGCATATGTGGGGAATGGAGTTCATGAGCCACCATGCAGTTCCCAAGTAGACAAAGGAGGCAATCAAGGTCCCCACCACCTGTTCGTTGTTACCAATACAAACACTTTTAGG